GGAAAACAGCCTTTAAAACGAAACATGGTTTATATGAGTGGTTAGTTATGCCATTTGGATTAACTAATGCACCTAGTACATTCATGCGATTAATGAATCATGTTTTGCGTGCTTTCATTGGCAAATTTATGGTTGTTTATTTTGATGACATTCTGATATATAATAAGAGTTAACTGATCATATTGAGCATCTGCGAATGGTATTGGAGGTTTTGAGAAAAGAAAAGTTGTTTGCTAACCTTAAAAATTGCTCCTTTTGCACAAATCAAATTGTCTTTTTAGGGTATGTTGTTTCAGCTGATGGAATTGCAGTAGACGAAGAAAAGATTAAGGCTATTAAAGAATGGCCAACACCTAAGAATATTTCTGAGGTGCGGAGTTTTCATGGTTTGGCAAGTTTCTACCGAAGATTCATCAAGGACTTCAACACAATTGCAACTCCATTGACTGAAATTGTGAAAAAAAAATGTCGAATTTAAGTGGGAAAGTGAATAGGAGAATGTTTTCAATTTGATTAAGGAGAATTTAATTTCTGCACCATTACTTGCTTTACCTAATTTTACTAAAACTTTTGAAATTCAATGTGATGCATCAGGTATTGGCATTGGAGCTATTTTGATGCAAGAGCAGCAACCTATTGTGTTTTTCAATGAAAAATTGATTGGTGCAGCACTTAACTATCCTACATATGACAAAGAGATGTACGCATTGGTAAGGGCCTTAGAAACGTGACAGCATTATCTTTGGCCTAAGGAGTTTATGATACATACTGATCATGAGTCGTTGAAGCACCTCAAGGGACAAGGTAAGTTGAATAGACGACATGCTAAGTGGGTGGAATTCCTTGAGACATTTCCTTATGTGATCAAGTACAAGCAAGGAAAAGAAAACATTGTGGCTAATGCATTATCTCGTAGGTACACACTTATCTCTACTCTAAGTGCAAAGTTATTGGGATTTGAGCACATTAAAGAATTATATGCTAATGATCCAGATTTTGCTAATGTGTTTAATGCATGTGAGAAGGTAGCATTTGATAAGTTTTATAGGCATGGTGGGTTCTTATTTAGAGAAAATCGATTATGTGTGCCTAACTATTCATTAGGAGAATTGTTAATAAAGGAATCACATGCAGGTGGCTTAATGGGACATTTTGGAGTTAGGAAAACTTTAGATATTTTGAACAATCACTTCTTTTGGCCACATATGAAACACGATGTTGAAAGGATGTGTGAAAGGTGCATAACATGTAAATAAGCAAAATCTAGAGTTTTACCACATGGTTTGTATACTCCCTTATCCATACCTACTGAACCTTGGGTTGATATATCTATGGATTTTGTTCTGGGCTTACCAAGGTCGAAAAGAGGCCACAATTCTATTTTTGTTGTTGTTGACAGGTTCTCAAAGATGGCACACTTCATTCCATGTCATAAAACCAATGATGCAACTAATATTGCTGATCTGTTCTTCAAGGAGGTTGTTCGTTTACATGGTGTTCCAAGGACTATTGTTTCTAATCGCGATGTTAAATTCTTGAGTTACTTTTGGAAGACCTTATGGGGAAAGTTGAGAACTAAGCTATTGTTTTTGACTACTTGTCATCCACAAACTGATGGACAAATAGAAGTGGTTAATAGGACGTTATCAGCCTTATTGCGTTCTATTATACAAAAAAAACTTGAAGAATTGGGAAGCATGTTTGCCGCATGTTGAATTTGCTTATAATCGGAGCGTCCATTCAACAACTAACTGTTCACCATTTGAAGTTGTGTATGGTTTCAATCCACTCACCCTTTTGGATTTATTGCCATTACCCAATGATGAACGAGCTAGTTTGGATGGGAAAAAGAAAGCTGAAGTGGTTAAGCAACTACATGAGAGGGTGCGACAAAACATAGAGCGAAGAATTGAGCAATATGCAAATCAAGCAAACAAAGGGCGCAAGAAAGTTGTGTTTGAACCTGGAGATTGGGTTTGGGTGCATATGCGGAAGGAGCGATTCCCTGCACAAAGGCGTTCTAAGTTGCAGCCAAGAAGCGATGGACCATTTCAAGTGATTGCAAGGATAAATGACAACGCCTACAAGTTGGAGCTTCCTAGTGAGTATAATGTTAGTGCTACTTTTAATGTTTTTGATCTTTCTCCTCTTGATATAGGTGACGATTTGAGGACAAATCCTTTTGAGGAGAGAGGGAATGATGAGAATCAAGATGACCCCACATGTCCCATGTCAAGAGGTCCATTATACATTCCAGGAGGTCCAATCACGAGAGCTAGAGCTAGGAAGATGTGAGAAGCTTTAAATGGCCTTATTGAGCAAATCTGGGTTGATAACAACATGCAAGAAGTAAATCGAAATTTGGATGATTATCAAGGCATGATAAACATCATTCAGGTTCAAGAGAAGCTTAATTGAGGTCATTTATGCTAAATTACACAGTTTGCGTCAATCTCGTAATTCTGTCGCAATTTGTAACAAACTGATATTTCATGTTACTTTAAGTTACTTTTAGTGATTTTCACATTTTTTATATTATTTTGGGCTGAACATTCATTTATTTAAATCCCAATTCATGGTTATTATGATTAGGGCTTAGGGTGTTAGTTTCCTATTCTGATTAGAATTACTTTTTCCTATTTAAAGGGGCTTGTAACTCTAATTGAGAGAGCGATTGAATCTGAGTTTTTGAGAGACTTTTCTCTTTGGTTTATTTTAGAACTTTACAGAACTTATCAAGATTATTCTTGTGGCGTTCTAACTTGACTTATCATTCTTGTTCTTAATTGTTCAAGAGTGTGGCATCAACCGACTTTATACCTCTCATTCTTGTTGCATCATAGACAACGGGTCAAGGGTTTTTACCTTTGGTTCTTGTTGCGACATAAACAACGGGTCAAGGTCCTATTATAAACCTGATTTAGCTTTCTTGGAGTTTAGAAATCTCTTGTTGTGCTATGGGTCTCATTGTTCTCTTTGGGGTTCTCATCATCTATTACACAGTTTGTGTCAATCTCACAATTCTGTCACAATTTGTAACAAACTAATATTTCATGTTACTTTAGGTTACTTTTAATGATTTTCACATTTTTTATATTATTTTGGGCTGAACATTCATTTATTTAAGGCTCAATTTGTGGTTATTATAATTAGGACTTAGGGTTTTAGTTTTCTATTCTAATTAGAATTACTTTTCCCTATTTAAAGGGGCTTGTAACTGTAATTGGGGGAGCGATTGAATCTGAGTTTTTGAGAAACTTTTCTCTTTGGTTCGTTTCAAAACTTTACAAAACTTATTAAGATTATTCTTGTAGCGTTCTAACCTGACTTATCATTCTTGTTCTTCATTGTTCTAGGGTATGACGTCAACCGACTTTATACCTCTGGTTCTTGTTGCATCATAGACAACGGGTCAAGGGTTTTTACCTTTGATTCTTGTTGCGACATAAACAACGGGCCAATGTCCTATTATAAACCTGATTTAGCTTTACTGGAATTTAGAAATCCCTTATCATGCTATGGGTCTTATTATTCTCTTTGGGGTTCTCATCAGGTCTTGAGAGAATAGTTGATCCTATTTTCAACCTAAAATTTTAAGAAAAACATTAATATATCTTGTACCTAATTTTTTTTTTTTTTTTTTTTTGAAAGGGAAAAATTTTGAGATAAG